TGTGTGGTGAATGGAAGTGCTCTTTGGGACCGATTTGCTGCTTTACAGTGGAGGAGCCCCAGTCTCGGACTGTAAGTAGCCCTGTCTCTAAGCAATTCACTCTGAATAGACCTTCTGAGAAGTGTCCCACGGAACTTCTTTATTACAGTCAGCTTTATCCAAATTTGACTGTCTACAATCTACCCATCCACTCTGGCATTTACAGGGTATCAGGCCCTATGGAGAGCTCACATGAACTGTAGTTTGTATATTAATTAACTATACTTTTTTAATATACACACATGCTCAGAGCAGCCAACCCCCCCATGACTCACAATAGAACGCACTAATTCTCATTTTCTCTGGGAAGGCCCCTAAATTACTGTTTACTCTGAAAGCTGCATAATTAGCCTATATGCCCAGAGGGGCTTTTCTCCAGCCTGTTTGCTACCAGATGCCTCTTCCCCACAAGACGCTGAGTGAGCCCCCCGGGATTGCACAGGGCTACGTTATAAATGTTGCGCGGCTGCCCGTGTTGAATGATACAGCAGACGCGGGGCTGAGAGTGGCACAGCACTCGGCCACCTGAGGTGATTCCCAGGGAAGACAAGTCCCTCTCAGCGCTCACAGGTACCAGCTCCGGCTGAGGAGCTCCCGTGCTCAAGGAACCCAGGGCGACGTGGGTGTGAGGGGGGACAGAGTCAGTCTGCGGAGCTTTCTATGCTGCACAGGCACTGCACATCCCAGGGCCCTTCTCACATGTGATGAGTTTGCTCCAGTGTCATGGGACAGAACCTCACTCTGTTCCCTTCATTCCTGCCCACCCTGGCTGATGGCCTCCAGTCTAGACGCGGATCTTTCGGAAAATAAAGTCTTTTCTGAAAGATCCTTTATCCCCCTTAAACATTCTTACCTCTACCTATTTATTGCATCGCAGGGAGGTGGGTGATCCATGCTGATGAGGGAACCTCTGCTGTCAGTGGAAGTAGGGTCTACACTGGGGAATGATGGAAGGGGTGTTTAGTGTGAACAAGCCCAAAAGCAGCTCTTCCAGGAAAGCCTCCAGTCTCGATCTGCAGATGGGAGGAGTTGGAGAATCCCGCTTTTCCCTTCCCAGTGTGTTCCGAAGACTCTTCACCTTCAGTGCTGACCATTTGGCCCTTATTTGCAACTGGAATGTTTTTGGTTTCATCTTTCAGCCATTGGCCCTGGCTCTGCCTTTCTCTGCTAGAGTTCAGAGACCATGAGTACCCACAGATTTTCCCCTTAAAAGTCTCAGTATGATGGTCTTTTCGATAAGAAAATGGATAAAGCTCTTTAAGACTCTCACAGCCAGGCCTTTTCTCCAGCCTCCATTCATTGGAGTTGTAATAGAGATGTAGCTGTGTTAGTCTGGTCTTGCTGAAACAAAAGACAGGACTATGCAGCACTTTCAAGACTATCAAGACGGTTTATTAGGGGATGAGCTTTCGTGGGCCAGACCCACTTCCTCAGATCAAATTGTGGAAGAAAATTGGCACAACCATATATACCAAAGGGATACAATAACAAACAGTAAAAAAATATAAAATTGACAAATCAGATTTTAGAACAGAGGGGGAGTAACGGGGGGAGGAGGGGAGGTTAGTGTCTATGAGATAATGATATTGGGGTAATAATTGGGGAAGCTATCTTTGTAATGGGTAAGATAATTAGCATCTTTATTAAGGTCCATTCGTAAAGTGTCAAATTTAAGCATGAATGACAGTTCTGAGGCTTCCCTTTGTAATTTGGTGTTAGAGTCTGTTTGAAGCAGGATGCATGTAGTGAGGTCATTGAGATGATGCCCAGTCTGGTTGAAATGGCAAGAAACTGTTTTTACTTTGTGAAACTGTCTGATGTCTGTTTTGTGTGCATTGATTCTTTGGCAAAGTATCTGAGAAGTTTGTCCAATATACATAGCAGACGGACACTGTTGGCACATGATGGCATAAATTATATTTCTGGATGAACAGGAATATGTGTTCTTGATCTTATAACTAATATGGATCAGTCCAATGACAGTGTCAGCAGAGTAAATATTTGGACAAAGCTGGCAATGGGGTTTGCTGCAAAGGAAAGTTCCAAGGTTGATATTAATGTGGTATGTCCTGTGGTTGATGGTAAGAAGCATCCTGAGGTTAGGTGGTTGTCTATAGGGGACTATAGGTCTGTCTCCCAGAGCCTCTCGGAGTGTAGTATCCTCTTCCAGTATAGGTTGTAGTTTATTGATAATGAGTTGGACGGGTTTAAGTTGGGGGCTATAGGTGATGACAAGTGGTGTTCTATTGTTGGTTTTCTTGGGTCTGTCTTGAAGTAGATGGTTTCTGGGTATTCATCTGGCTCTTTCAATTTGTTTTTTTATTTCCCTGGGTGGGTAATTGAGGTTTGCAAATACTTGGTAGAGATCCTGAAGTGTCTGGTCTCTGTCAGCGGGATTATCCAACTTCAGGGAAGACTGTCAAGAACCAGGGCAGGGACCCCAAACTGGTTGTATGTTCTATAATTAGATTTTACTAGCCCAGTATCAAGTGTGATCTCCTAAAGCACTGGAACAGTCTTGCCATGGAGTCTCAGTCTCCTGGAATCCCCCAGAATCTCTTGCCACCCAGGCAAGCTGGACTTTGACTGCTATACACCAAAGATCACAAAATGTTCAGGTGGCTCCCATTCTACCTGTGGTATCAAGGAAATGGATCTCTTGTGTAGAATGGTCCAGGCTGAGATTGATGGCAGGGTGTAGGTTGTTAAAGTCTCTGTGGAATGCATCCAGTGTTTCTTGGCCATGGGTCCAGATCATAAAGATGTCATCGATGTAGCAGAAGTAGAGAAGGGGTAAAAGGGGATGGGATCTGAGGAAATGTTGTTCTAAATCAGCCATAAAGATGTTACTGTATTGTGGGGCCATGCAGGTGCCCATGGCTGTGATGCTGATCTGGAGGTATAAGTTGTCCCCAAATTGGAAATAATTGTGGGTGAGAACAAAGTTACATAGGTTTGCTGCCAGATTGGCAATGGTATTCTCTGGGATAGTGTTTCTAATTGCTTGTAATCCGTCTTCATGTGGGATGTTGGTGTAGAGAGCTTCTACATCTATGGTAGCAAGGATGGTGTTATCAGGGAGGTTATCGATGTTTTGTAGTTTTCTCAGGAAGTCAGTAGTGTCTCAGAGATAGCTGGGAGTGTTGGTTGCATAGGGTTTGAGAAGAAAATCTACATAGCTGGATAATCCAGTGGTGGCGTGCCGATACCTGAGATGATGGGACGTCCAGGGTGTCCAGGTTTATGGATTTTGAGAAGCAGATAGAACAATCCTGGTCGGGATTCAGAAGGTGTTTCTGTGTGGATTTGGTCCCAAGTAGAGGTAGGGAGTTCTTTAAAGAAACAGTGTAGTTTCTTTTGGTATTCTGTAGTGGGATCAGAGGAGAGAGGTCTGTAAAATGTGGTGTTGAAGAGTTCTCTAGTTGCCTCCTGGTCATAGTCGGATTTATTCATAATGACCACAGCACCCCCTTTGTCAGCTGGTTTGACTATAACGTCCGTGTTGTTTTTGAGACTCTGGATAGCATAGTGTTCAGCAAGGCTGAGATTGTATGTCATTTGTTGTCGTTTGTGAATAATGTCAGTCTGTGCATTGTTGCGGAAGCATTGTATATAGAAATCCAGATTGTAATTCCGACCGTCAGGAGGAGTCCATATAGAATTATTTTTCTTTTGGTGTTGATAGGGGGGATCTGGTTGGTCAGACTGATGTTCATTGGTAGTTTGGAAATATTCTCATACGCGTAGGTGTCCAGACTACAGTGCTGTGCCACCAAACAGCTGATCGGCACAGCGCAACAGCCATTTTGATTTAAATGAAGCGGCGATTATTTAAATTGCCGCTTCATTTCCCTTTGCCTACAAAGATAATCTACATGGCTCTGTCGATGGAGCCATGTAGTGTAGACATGCCCTAAGGTGCTGCAGGACCATTTGTTGTTTTTTTTGTTTTTTGTTTTTTGTTTTTAGTTTTTTGTTAGTTACAGGTTAACATGGCTACCCCTCTGAGCGTATGTCTACACTAGCCCCCTAGTTCAATCTAGGGAGGCTAATGAGGGTGACCGAAATTGCAAATGAAGTGCAGAATTTAAATATCCTGCGCTTCATTAGCATGTTCCCGGCCAGTCACCATTTTAGAAATTGACTAGCCCGAAGTAACTGCCCACCTCTACACGCAGAAGTGAAACGGGATTACGAATTAAAGCCCTAAATCAAATTAGCTGTTATTCCTCCTGCAATGAGGTTTACCAGCTAATTCGATTTAGGGCTTTCATTCGGAATCCCATTTCATTGCCGTGTGTAGATGCGGGCAGTTACTTCAGGCTAGTCAATTTCTAAAATGGCAACTGGCTGGTAACATGCTAATGAAGTGCAGGATTTTTAAATCCCCTGCTTCATTTGCAATTTCGGTCACCCTCATTAGCCTCCTTAGATCAAACTAGAGGGCTAGTGTAGACATACCTTGAGACTTTTCTTGAGACTTTAATAAGTTTCCTTTCTCCCTCTAGCAATTACCCTAATCCTTTTCTAGGATTCCATTACTTCTTACCAGACTTAATAACCTCCTTTTCTGGTATCCTTCGCACTACCCAGCATGAATTTTTTTCCCTTATGTTTTGAACGTCCCTTACAAATTTTCATAACTTCCCATTTGTATTACTTGCTAACTATTTACCGTATTGCTATTTTGTATTGCTTGCTAACCCATTTTGCTATACTTTGCTTCCTCCAGTCACCAGCTGCTGCCTTCACTTAGCTATTGATCTAAAAGTTTTTTTCCCAAAGTTCTCTACTTTCTTGACTGTGGAATCAGAGTCTTATATTAACATTTTCTCTCCATCCAGGCATTTGTATTGTGACCATCACTCTAGACTCCGGGCAAATACAGGAGCACAGGGGAGCCTATGGTACATAGAAGTATTCTATTGTTACTCAGAGTTGGAAACGTGCTCCCATACTCCATGTCAGATTCCAACACAACCTTCTTCACCCACCCCTCCACCTTCATCCTGCTGGGCATCCCTGACCTGGAAGTGGTCCACATCTGGATCTCCATCCCCTTCTGCACCATGTTCATCATAGCCCTCTTGGGGAACTTCGTCATCCTGTTCATTGTGAAGACAGATCCAAGCCTCCATGAGCCCATGTACTATTTCCTCTGTATGCTGGCTGCCACTGACCTCATCCTATGTACATCCACCCTACCCAAAATGCTGAGCATCTTCTGGTTCAATTCCAGGGAGATTGATTTTGATGCCTGCCTCACCCAGATGTTCTTCATTCACACCTTCTTTGCTATGGAGTCTGGGATCTTCATGGCCATGGCTTTTGATCGCTATGTGGCCATCTGCGATCCCCTGAGACATTCCACCACTTTGAGAAACCCCATCATTGTGAAGATGGGACTGGCCATACTGCTGCGTGGCAGCATACTCGCACTTCCCTGTCCCTTGCTGGCCAGGCAGTGGCCATATTGCAGAACCAACATCATCCCTCACACCTGCTGTGAGCACATCGCTGTGGTGAATCTGGCCTGTGCCGACATCCGCCTCAGTAGTTACTACGGCCTCTTTGTGGCAAACATGGTGATTTGTCTGGATGTGTTTTTTATCACTGTGTCCTATACTCGGATCCTCAGGGCCATCTTCAGCCTCCCCACCAAGGATGCCCGGCTCAAGACTTTTGGGACCTGTGGCTCCCACCTCTTTGCCATATTAGCTTTTTATATCCCAGGTCTATTCTCTGTCTTCACGTATCGGTTTGGCCATAATGTGGCCCTGAATTTCCATGTTCTCTTTGCCAATGTGTGCCTCCTGGTGCCCCCCATGTTAAACCCCATCATTTTCGGTGTGAGGACCAAACAGATCCGGGACAGGATCCTCCGACTTTTTACTAATAAAGGAACCTAAAGATTTCCCCTGATGCTCTGGCTCTCAGAATGAGTTCTGTACAGAGCTGGCTTCTGACATGGTGCTGGGCCCTCTTCTCTGAATCATTGACTGCCAGTCAAGGAGAGATGAAACTCTTTCCTGATCAAACTGTGCTGTGTTAGTGGGACAAACTGTGGAATCGGTCAATGTACAACTCACTGAGTTGACACCTGTTTAATTGCTGGTAACTGGACCCTCAATGTCCTATTTCTGCTCTGCATCTCCCCCCACAAGGCCCAGACAGTGTTGCTTGCTTTTATCTTCCCTGACCCTGTCACTCACTGGATCATCTCTGTGTCCCTCCTCTGCCTAGATGGAAGGCTGCCCTTTCAGATTTTGATTTAGTGGGTTACTTAGCAATTAGCTGACAGGAGCACTGTATCTAACTCCCATATAAATGAAAGAAAAATAAATATTACACGTCCCCAGCTTTGTTACTAATATAGTCTGACATCTTGAGGCAAGTCACTTTAAACACAGGTTTTTGTTTTAAAAATTAATATATATTCTTACTTAGTTGCTAACTCTGCAGAGGGAGAGACACACCCATCAGGAATTCTGAGTTTTATATCTGGGAGCATGGAATGGTCTAGTGCAGTGGTCCCCAACATGGTGTCCGCGGGTGCCATAGCACCCGCAGGGGCATTTGTGTGTGCCCGCCAAGTGCTCGGGGCTGGCCTGGCCCCAGGCACGTGGCGCACGGTGAGCACCGGCCCCAGGAGTACCACGGTGCATGGGGGGAACGCTGGCCCCGGGCGCGCGGCGCTTGGGGGGGGCGCTGGCCCCGGGCGTATGGGGGAGCCTCGCCCCCTGGCATGCGGCTATGGGGGGGGGCCCCGCCCTCTGGCACCCGGCGGGCGAACAGCCACACCCCCTGGTGCCCGGCAACCTTAAATGGTTGGGGACCACTGGTCTAGTGCTTTACAGTGGAGAACAAATATTTCTGGCATTTATATAAGAAGATCACTATAATCATACTGGGAAAGATCAATGGCCCTTCTAGCCCAGTAGCAGGTTTAAAACAACCAAAAGGAAGTACTTCTTCATGCAATGCATGGTCAACCTGTGGAATTCCTTGCCAGAGGATGTTGTGAAGGCCAGGACTTTAAGGGTATGTCTACACTACCCTCCTAATTCGAACTAGGAGAGTAATGTAGGCATACCACACTTGCAAATGAAGCCCGGGATTTGAATTTCCCGGGCTTCATTTGCATAAGCCAGGCGCCGCCATTTTTAAATCCCGGCTCGTTCGAACCCCGTGCTGCGTGTAGCCGCGAGGCACGGGGTTCGAACGAGCTGGGATTTAAAAATGGCGGCGCCCGGCTTATTGAAATGAAGCCCGGGAAATTCAAATCCCGGGCTTCATTTGCAAGTGCAGTATGCCTACATTACCCTCCTAGTTCGAATTAGGAGGGTAGTGTAGACATACCCTAACATAGTTAGAAAAAGGAATAGGTAAATTGACTTTGTGGAGGTAGAGATGAGCTGGAGAGTCCTCCAATCTTGGTTCTGACTTTTCATGACTTTGTTGCTGACTTTCTTCTGAAAAGGAACTCTACCTATTAAGAGAATATGTAGATCCTGCTGGAAAAAAAAGGTTGCTTCTGAACATGCTAACGATCCATCTGGCAAACAGGGAAGGGGGAGGGCCATACTTTAGAGTAGGGACCCCACGTAAATTTTACCTGAGGTCCCATACTGAAAGGGACACTGAGGAGAAAGCAAAACCAGTAATTAAACATATGATAAGCTTCAAGGAGGCACTGAAAGATACAATGTGTATCGAACAAACCAAAAAGTCAAAAGAGAAGGTCTGGTATTACAAAAACTCTGGGAAATTCCTAGTTCGGGTATAAGATTTTTGTGTATTGGTTAAATCTCATGATGAAAAGTTTGCTGCTAATTGTAAATCTTATGAGAAAGAATTAGGTATTCATGGTGAATCCTATGAAAAGGGATAATACGCATGATTTTGGGAAACGCTTCTAAAATATTAGAAGTAGTGAACAAGAAATCTTTTAGGGACATTGTTTTTCAGCTAACAGCTCAACAGAGGCTCAAAGTTTGCCACAGGATGGAAGCCATAATTAACCTGGTCTGCCCTGTGAAAGGGGAAACTGAGGCACACCATCTCATGCCATTGATGAATATCTCTATAGAGTTGTCACCAGATGGGAAAATACCCTCGCTGACTATGTTGCATGGACACAGAGAGAGTTTTCTAACAACTGAGAGAAGGCACACTTACTGGCATTCCCTATCACTAGGCCAATTGTCAAAGTGTTCAGAGGAGCACAGAACATTAAAAGAACACCCGCAGATAAATCTGCAATGTTTGCAAAGCTTGGGAGTTGTTGGGCCAAATTTAAGAGGGCTCCGAGCACACCGCCTCTGCTTTAATCAATGACAAATATTCCTGCAGTAAAGTAAGGGAGAAGATGTGACTTTATGTACCCAAAAGTATCACCCCAGCACCTCCAAATTTTCCATGGCGATATAATTAGGCTGTGTTTTATAAAAAAAGTAGGGTGTACGGTATCGGTGGAAGAGTTGTGATTGCTGAACATGATTAATCTATGTCCATGCATGTATCACCTGTGTACCTAAAGTTAGGAATATTGACGATGTCACAGTATTTCAGATGTGTTTGGTTCTGAGAAACACCCACGTGGTAGATGAAACATTCATTAGGAAATACTCAAATCATTAGAACAGTCGTATCCCCGTTTGGTGGATCTTCCTGTGAACATTCTGGTCGTTATAGGGGCAATGACCCTTACTACGAATCGCTGAAGCATCCATGGGTATGTGACCAGGTCATGTGATACTGGACTGCACCTTGTACCTGTGCTTTTCCCCTGCTGGGGACTTTTTCTTGGAAAAATAAAGTTCCCTCCAAATCAGAGCTGTGACAGGGGGAAGGAACATCACCGGCTTGGCTCATGCTCCCCACACGACAACATCTGGAATGGAAACCCTTGAGGAACAAGGATTGAACTGGGGATGGGGTCGAAGGATGAAGGGATTTCTAGCCTGTGCATGAAACACTGGGGTGGTGCTTGTACCTATCGAGTAGGTGGAACTTAATTTGGGATTTTGTGATCCCCATCCCCTTAGGAAATGAACTTTGATCCTTTTGCTGTTACTTTTTAGTTACTTAACATCAATCATTCTGTACTTAATAAATCTGTTTTATTTCCCCCTCAAAGCCATGTGTTGCTTGAAGTGCAGAAGAGAAATCTGCTGAAGAACAAGAGCTGGTGCTTTGTCCTCTCCACATTGAAGGATGGAAAGACTGGGGAATACACTTACTTTGGCCAGGCTTCTGACCAGGGCGAGGTGCCACAGCTCTGGGGTCCTAGGCTGGGGAGTTGGTGGGAGCTGGCTGGAGTCTCTTTATTGTTCGTTCATGAGTGGCTAGTGAAAGCATCCACGTGACCACAGCTGGGTGTGTCCCTGCCTGCATGAGCATGACCAGGAGAGGACTGCAGTTTGTCACAGCCTCACAGTATGAGAAGGAGACTAGGTTAGAATGTCTGAGGGCACAGCGGGGGCCCCCCCATGTTCTGTCCCAATTAATTCTATCACACCCGTCCCACCAAGAGGCTCTGAAACACCATGAGTCCATTTCCCGCTTGCCATGCACCCAGCTAATGACAGAGAGACCGTGGTTACGCCAGTGATCTCAGGACTCCTGCATGGTATCTGCCATTTGCTATGTGACCTTGGCCAAGTGACATCCCCTGTGCCTCATTTGTATGATGGGGACATGCTCATAGCGACTTTCCGTTGCTCAGTACTTCAGAGAGTCTTAGTGAAAGGTGCTGCACGGGGTGATGACGGCTATGGGTGAAAATAACTGATCTCTGATCACTTAGCAACAGCCCCTTGTGCCTGCAGAAAGTTCTCCTGTCTCCCTGTAGTCATACCTCTCCAGATATACTGGTCCACACAGCCACCCTGGGCAGCGAGTCATCCCCCTCCTCCAGACAGTGTTGCAGCTCCCAGGACAGTAGGAACCACACACAGCACACAAAGCAACACAATAATACAGTCACACAGCCATTGTCCCTTCCTTCTCTTGCATTTCAAAAGGGGTGGGTGAGCATGCCGCTCAGCACCAGGTGAGTAAAATAATTTTTGTCTATCCCGCACCCGAGTATATCCCGCAGAGGGATGCAGAGTTTGTAAAAATGAATATAACCCATGACTTATATTCGCTAAAATACGGTACTCTATTATATTGCAGATTATATTGAAGATAAAACCTGTTTTTTGTAATGGAAAATCACGTTTCACAAATCTACCAGAATTTTTGAGGGAGTCAACAACCATGGGAACAAGAAGGATCCAATGGATGTTGAGAAAGGCTTTGACAAAAGCACTCAGCAAAGGCTTTTATGCAAATTAAGCTGGAATGGGATAAAAGGGAAGGTCTTCTCATGGATTGGTAACTGATTAAAAAATTGTAGCCAAAGGGTCGGTATGGCTCCTGCCAGCTGGGGGGAGGGTTTGCGGGAGAGAAAAGTCCCCTGCCAGCTGAAGGGGGCTGAGGACAGAGAAACGCCCCTGCTAGTTGGGGAGGGAGTTAGGGGGAGAAAAGACCCCTGCTAGCTGCAGGAGTTGGGGAGACATGAAAGGCCACTTCTGGATGGAGGGGCTGGGGGAGAGAGAGAAGGCCTCTGCTAGCCAAGGAGACTGGGGGGAGGGAAGGCCATTGCTGCTCTCGGAGGATAGAGGGGTTCGCAGGCCCCCACTGGCTGGGGAAGCTAGATGGGGCAAAAGACCCCACCAACTGGGGGAGATAAAGCCCCACCCAATGGGACCCCCCAGCCTAAATCCCTCCTCACCCCACCACCCTTGTTCTCGCACCCCTCAACCTCCTCAGCCCCTTGCCAAGCCCCTTCTCAACCCCCATCCTGAATCCAGCACCCCCACACCCCCAGTCTCCTGCCTTGTCCCCCCACATCCTCAAGGCC